CCCCGCCTTCCCCCCCTCGCCTTCACCTTTCTCGGCCTTTTGGGTAAGATCGCACCTTGCCCCGCCTTCCCTCCCGTGCATTCCCCAGCCTTGCCCCGCCTGCCCTTCCCTGCTATCCCGCGGCCTGCCTTCCTGCGCTCCGACGCGCCGCACCTCTGTTCTCCCCACGTAATCGGTCGTTTTTTACGTAATCGGTCAGTTTCAAGAACAACCGATTACGTAATCGGCCGTTTTTGGAACTGGCCGACTACGTAATTGGTCGTTCTTGAAACTGACCGATTGATGTAGCTCAGTGGTTAGAGCACTGGTTGGAAATGCGCATTGTGGTATGAGGTTGTGGGTTCAAAACTCAATTGCAGCCTTGCGCATGGACACAAGCAGGACGTTAGAATGACGCACGGCTAGACACACATTCCCTTGGGCTGACGCATGGTAAGCTTATACAGACAGTGACTGCAAGGGTTGTCCATGGTGTTGTATGCCGGGTCTTGATAGTACTGTGAGGGTTGCTTGTCGCTGTTGGTTGTGGTTGTTCTGTTGATCTCCCCAGTCTGGCATATCACACACAGGCCGTTTGCAATTGCTGCTCAAATGGTAGTCTTCAGGTCACATGTCATAGATCACGGGTTCGAGTCTGGCTGGGGACTTTGGGAGGGGCTCTTGTCCAGGTTGGCCTGTCATCTCTTCAAAACGAACACATAGTTCCCTCTACATAGCACTGCACATATCTGGCCATCGGGCACATACATCTTGCTATACAGTTACACAGAGCACACATAGACTGCATATATCTGGCCTTCGGGCACATACATCTCGCTATACAGGTACACAGAGCACACATAGCCTTCGGGCAGATACAAAACACATGGCCATATGGGCTCATACAAACATGCATAGCCTCTGGGCATACACACATACACACAAATTACGATACTGGGCTGGGGGGGGTCTATCAGGTATATGACGGAGTCTACTCACGCATGGCTTAGCTCTAGGGTAGGGATAGGGATATAAGTCGCTCCGGCTAGTCTGAGCTCCGCCTAGCCTTGGGTGAGCTAGGGGAAGGACGGTAGGATGTGTCCGCGGGAGCTGGCCTGCCTTGCTTGGGTAATCCTGCTTGGTAGACTCTCTGAATTGGGCCTGTAGAAGATTGCATGAGCCTGGCGTCCGAAGTTGCCGTACGGCAAGGTTCGTCCGCTTCCGCTTCCATCAGGGCTGGGAGGTTGGCCCAGCCTTGGTGCTTGTCACTGCTGTTTGGTCCGAGTTGCCCTCGATACTGGTAGTAGGGTGAGGGTCCTGAGTGCTGGTCACACTGAGGTAGGATAGTAGGGACAGCGGGTGCGCTGGGAGTATTAACGTGGGGATGGGTGGGGTAGGTGGCCTATCCTGTCAGGACAATCATTGGCTGCCGCTACTAGCAATCACCGCGGGTCTCGTCCTTGGCCTCTACAACACCCTGGACTTAACAAAAAAAAAAAA